AAAACGTTCATTTTCTGGTTGTCATACTCTCATTAAGTTACACTTTTCATTTGCTCAAAAAGAACGTTAATGTCATCTTGTGCTTCAACAAAGTATTTCTGGCTAAAACTAGCTAACGTTAGCGTTAAAGTTAGTGAGTCCATGCTAACGTACAAACCTAAATAGCGAACTGTTCTCACGTCATGTACAGTGCAGTGAAAGTCAAAAACACATAAACGAAGGTCTATATTAGAGTGCCTCTCCATATTAATCTGGTCAGATGTAAATTAATTTAATCTTACTCTGCGGTATACGAATGGTGTTGATCCAGAATGTTGTCATTGCGATCGTGACGACCATAACATAATTCTCACGTTTGCATTGTGATCTGTATTTTTACACATTTATTTTAATATCTTTTATATATCCCTCCATGGCATATTTAAGTCTCACTTGAAGGTCCATTTGTGTCCCAAATTGATCAGAAACACCTCGGAAGAAGGTTTTCACTGACAGCTGTCATTGTAAGACAGTGAGCAACTCTGTTTGTTTGTTTTTTGTTTAGTTACTGTTTGAGCAACAGTAACTAAGGGGGGGCGGGGCTTACCGATAGGTCAATTACGAAAAGCAGTTATGAGATATTCACAATTGGGAGATATAAAATTGTAATTTGCAACATGTAAAGTTACATTGTGTGGTATAAAGTCAAATTGTTAGATAAAACATTGCAATTGCGAGAAATAAAATCACAGTTTGGAGATTTATTTTTATTCTGAGGTGGAAATGGCTTCCTTAAGGAGCTTCGATGATTTGTCAAATTCGCTTTTGAGTAGAAAATCAAACCTCCAGACCTCGAAAACCCGTGACAATGACATTCTTCCTTTGACTGTTTTGCAGTGGAGCTTGAGAAACGCATCGACTTTGAGCTGAGGGAGGGTCTGGTGGAGAGCCGCTACTGGTCAGCCGTGACGTCGCACACAGCCTATTGGTGCTCCCACGATGTGGCTCTGTTTCTGTTAACATTCATGTACAGGCCAAATGAAGCGAATGACATGCCAGAGGACAACCCCGAATCATAACAAACACGCATATGAACTCTGACACAGCACCACCCTTGATCGCTCCCTTAATATAGTTTAGACCTTGTTCACTGTGCATCAGAGATCCTGTCCTTGCCTTGTTTTCCCTCCATTTAGAAGCACATCCATGGAAGAGACTTACTCTCTCCACTACATCCCCCAATTAGGATTGGAAATTCTGACCATTCCCACCTTGCAGCGGTCTCTCCATATTGACTGATGTGTATTGACATTGTTGTGGTTGTTTAGTATGACTGACAAAGATCTGCTGAATTGGAGGTTCACGATCAGAAGGGTTTTTTGAGAAGTACATAAGATGCGTTTTCTTGCCTAAAAAGAATAGTTTTGAAGAATTTTATAATTTAAGCATAAATATTATGTTTATTTTAGATGATAAAACACAATCTGTATCACTCCTAAAAGTGGCCAAATATTGAGTAGTTAATTTGAAGAGAATAACCATTAGTAAACGTGGTTCAGCCAAAAATATCAATTCGGTTATTATTTATTCACCCTCATGTTGTTCCAAATTCATGTGATTTTCTTACGTCAGTGGAACACAAAAGGAGATATTTTGAAGAATTGTACTAGTTGTTGTTTACACATTACCAGTGTTCTTTTAGTTTAATTTATATACTATTATAGTTTATATTAATATTTTGAGTTAATTTTTTTTTTCATTTTAATTTTAGTTGTCATACAGTTATTTTATACATATTATTTTGTTTTTCAGTTTTAGTTAATTGTAGTACTTTGTTAAACTAATCAAATAAGAGCTGTAATAAAATAAGTTTACTTTTTATATTTCATATTTTATTTCAGCTATTGTTTATTTTATTTCAAGTAACATTTTTTTTATTTATTATTTTTACGTTTTTTTATTAACAATAATAGCCATGTTGGAAACTGAAGCTTTTAAGCTTAATAAATGACACAAAACACCATAAAGTTTCATAAAAGTGACAATATTCCAAGTCCTCTGAATTTAATGTGAAGAACAGATTGAAATTTAAGACATTATTCCCTAAAAATGTTTCCATCTGCCCTAGCTCTCCATTCCAGAGTCATGAGAGAAGTAGAAATGTCCGATTCATGAATGAATCTTTAACCGAGTCAGATGTTTTCAACTGATGTAGTTGACAAAAACCGCTCTGAATGATTCGTTCATGCATTAGACTGATCCAGTTACTGAGCTCAACTCACTGAATCTTTGATCCGGTCACAGCGTTTTAGGAGCACGTCATCAGTGAATAACCTCTGACCTTTCAGTCTGTTCCTGAACATATTTTCTAGCTTCAGAAGACTTGGAACATAGTTGTATGGACCACTTTCATGATCCGTTTTGCACATTGAAAGCCTCAGTTCCCATTTATAGTGAGTGGAAAGATCGACTAGAACATTCTTCAGAAATTCTCCTTTTGTCTTCCATGAAAGAGAGAAAGTCGTACTGATTTGGAACATCAGAATTTTCGTTTTTAGGTGAACTATTCCAGACATTCCCAGTCCTTTTCCTTCTTCTCCTTCTGATACATTTGAGGCATTAGTTTCTCCTCTGCACTCGCATGATACTGCACATTTGAATGCACTCTTTGCTATGATCACCACTGAGTTTTTGCTTTAACATGCATGAAGTCTGAATGTTTTCCACTGAGGCTGTTAGAAAAACTCCCTACAACTGGATCTCCTCTTAGTTCTGTCCAAACACTTCACATTTTGCATATGTGGCATTCTCTGCAGTCGGCATATCAAACATGTTACTCGTCATGTTGTTTCCTAATGTATTATAGCACTAATGAACCATATAGTCACAAAGACATTGCCATTTTGAAAGAACCATCATTTTTTTTTGTGTTACGCCCATGTTTTCTGTATTAATTTTGTATGATTTGTTTACAGTAATCCTGAAAAATTACACCCCCCATGCCTTTTTTACGACAACAAGAGAAAAGCACTTAACATTTCTCCTTACCTCACCCTTGAATGTGCCAATAAACTGAAGAGTGAGATCTTCAGCAGGCGTGTGGTCAGAGGGAAACGTCAGAACTGGACTCCAGCGTGTCTGTTCATGTTTAGCTTCAGTGAACACCGAGCTGTTCCTCTTTTATGAACCTGGTGTTTTTCATTAAAATTGATATCGACCGCCCGCTCCGTCTCATTCTGTTAATTGCTTTTAAATCCTGACTTTATAGGTAATATAGGGATCAACTAAGCACAGTTTGATGTGGGCCTTGATCAGAATAAATGGAAAACAACAGAATACAACTTTATTAATCCCTGCGGGGTGATTTAGTTTTAGCTATAAATAACGAGTCATCAAATGTGGACACTGGAGCTGTTGTTCTCAGTAGGGGGGTAGTGACCCAATAAACAGGTCAGCAATACAATAACATTTTAAAAAGGCAGGATACAAGTTTCCATATGTTTTGTTGTTAATGTCCTATATCAAAATAAACAGTATTTTGGTGTAAATCTACCTGTCTTTTGATAATTAATGCCCAATACTGATACAATATTTGGGGCAGTTTTTTTGTTATATGCATTAAGCTGGTAAATTGCACTTGCTTATGCATTTTCCCAAAAAAAAAAAAAAAAAAAAAGGAAGCTAATGGAACTTTTAAAAGTTTGGTGTCAGGATTTTTTTTTTGTTTTTTTTTAAGAAATTAATATTTCTTTTATTAATGCTTTTTATTAGATTTCTATCCAACTGTTTTCAACAATAAGGGGCTAAATGTTTCTTGAGCGCCATATCAGCACTGTGACACAAGCAATTATATTTTGGTATCATTGAGATACTTGCTGTTTGCTGTTTATTACTATATTTTGCATTTAATTTGATTTTAGTTTTAGTTTTATTTATATAATAACCCCACAATGAAGACTGGAGTAATGGCTGGCGAAAATACAGCTTTGCCATCACATAAATTACATTTTAATATATATTAAAAAAGGATTTAGGCTATTTAAATTATTTAGAAGTTATTGTTTACATTTGACTATGTACAATATTACTGTTCTACTGTATTTTTTTTTATTAAATAAAGCTTTGGTGAGAATAAGAGACTTTTTTCAAAAACATTTTAGGCTAAAAAAATCGTATCAACCCCGCTACTGTATATCATATTTTATTATATTATATCATATCATATATATCATATTTTATTATAACTAAATGTGATAAAAAAAAAATCAAATCCCTGTTTATCAGTTCATTAATATTTGTTTATAGTGATTCCAGGATTAAATAAATAAATCAGCAGTCCCTTATGCATCTCTGTGTTTCAACTTTTGTATGTTTGTGTGTGTATGTGTGTGTGTGTGAGAGTGAGTGTGTGTGTGTGTGTGTGTGTGTGTGTGAAGTACAAACATCAAATGTGCATGAAGTTGCTAGTTCCAATTGGTCAATAATAAATGCCCATTTATGATACAGCATGTTATTAGCTTGTATATATAATTGTTGTTCAGTTAGGTACACTGTAAGACAAATATGTGAAAAAAACTGAAAAGGTACTAGTCATTTTCTGCCAGGATGTTATCCATTAAGTTGTAACCCTGTAACCTTAAAACACAAAATGCAATGTGGAATTTAAAACGGATTGTTCGTTCATGTTAACAGTAGGCCTACATTGTGTCCTATTTTTACAGACTTTTGTGCAGCACACTAACTAACTACCAGTACACTGCTTTAAACTATACTTGTTGAAAATGTGCAGTTTTACTAGTTAATAAGAAAACACATCAAATATGTAACTGTTCAATAATTCAATGTTGTAAAGAATCAGATCATAAAGATGTTACCTATGTGACTTTTACAAATTAAGATATTTTATGTTTATAATATTTTTATGAACAAATAACATTTAAAAAAATATATATAGCTGAGATTTGAGTAATCTCGTTGCGTATTCTATGTAAATAAAACGCTGTTTTGTGTCATGGTTATGCAATGACGTCATCACGCAATGACGTCACAGCGTCTTTTAGCAACTTTTAGCAACAAATCGATCTGCCTTTAGCACCTTCCCCTGAAAATTAGTTAGTTGGCAACATTGCAAGCCGCTGAACTAGACGGCATGTTTGAGCTCAGCTGACTCAGACGCGTCTGTGATCCCTACAAAGGGCTCTCTCAGTAGGCAGCTCAGTATATAGTTTTCCCCGTGACTCGCCACACGCCCAGCAGTCACTCATTATTAGTTGCGGGGTAAAGATGGCTTGAGGCGAAGATAGGGACTGGACTGCTCTCCATCCAGGGCTCGAGGAAGGAAGAAAGCTACAGGGAGAGAAGGTAGTGCAGAAGGTGTGCTGATTCATCTGTTTATTCAAAGATTTGTGTGGGTTTAGGAATTCATAAAGTTGTTCTGTATTTGGAAACCTTTTAGAGCAACAGGTGAGCTGTTAAATAAACGTTTTTAATAAAAACATTTAACATTCAGACGTTAGTTGTTTTAAGAAATGGCGATTACATTTTTTGACCATATTTATTTACTCTGTTGTTCACAGTGGGGCTAGTTGTCACACTTGTTACTAGAGTGAATATTTCTCCATTTCTGTATAGATACATAACTTAAACTTGGCTACTATTCAGTTTTACTTCATTTTAACATGTAATTTATTCCTGTGATGGCGAGGCTTAATTTTCATCAGCCATTACTTCAGTCTTCAGTGTCACATGATCCTTCAGAAATCATTAATATGCGGATTTGGTGCTCAAGAAACATTTCTTATTATTATCAATGTTTGAAACGGTTGTGCTGCTTAATAAAATAATTAATACTAAAGTAATGTATACAAATAAATAAATATTATATATAACGCTACCACACTAAACGTGTCACACGTCTAAGTTGTCACAAAACAATTAATGAAACAACAGACATGTAAACATTAAACCATTGATTTGACCAAGAAATATTAATCGTTTGTATGAATTCTGTTTTGTAATGTTAATTGGCTCCAGCATTTCCTGTTGGGCACAGAAATAATTTTTTTGGTCATGCTTTGTGGAAACATTTACAAGGCATTGTGAAGATGAACATTCAGTCAGCCATCAGCCGTGAGATCTTTGTCCCAAGAGATGAAAAGTTACTGGTAGCCATTGAGGTGAGGAGGAGGATGAAGAAGAAAGGACTGTCCTTCCTCAATGCAGGTCGCAAGCGGGACTACTTAACTTACCTCTGCCTGTCAGGTAATGTGCGTCTTCATAAACTCGAAATATCTAAACTAGTTACTAGATGAATCGTTTGTTGAGCAGTCAGATGTTCTTGAAGTTTGATGGAGACATCAATGTTTCCATGTAGTTACTAACAGTAGACCAGCTCAAGTCCTCATCACTAAAGTTAAGAGGTATCGGGGCACGAGGCCGTTTGCTAAAAGGTCTCAATGGTCTGTGGAGCAGCTTCGCCAGGTCAATGGCATCAACCCTGATAAGGTGATCATCCTTCTAAATGCAGCTTTTATTTCCCAGTATGTTCCGTTATTCTGACTGAATGGATATTTTTAGGACACTCCTGAGTTCGACCTAGTGTTCAATCGCACCACTGATCAATGGGTGGCCAGCTCAGCTGCAGAGAAATGCATGTTTGTGCAGGTTCTCTATCATGCTTGTCAAAACTACTGGGAGGCCAAGCTTGCCCAAGCCAACACAGCGTCCCCCAGAGACCAGAAGATACCAGGAGCTCTGGAGAACAAGAAGAGCCCTGGTGCTCCAAGCCAAACTAGCTTTGTCAACTGTCAGCAGAAGCTAATGGGAGGTGAGCGGGCTTAGAAAGACAGATCACTGTATTGACCTCTTTGCAGAATGAACATGTATGGATGGAGAACCTAAGACCTGTAACAAAACAAAGCCCTGTTTTCTTTTCTTTTTTTCTCCATATTTCAGATTCTTGTTCTGTTAATATGGTCATCTATCGCTGCAAGATTTTTTTGAACAGAATGAAGAACAGTATGACTGCAAACCAGGGTCAGCCTCGGCGTGAAGGTAAGTAGGATTTTGTGTGTGTGTGTATTTTCCAAATTCATTGTGATCATGTTGCTGTCATATGGTTTTGAAAGTCATTTATACAATTTATACCAACGTTCAAATTGAATAATGGTGTAACCATCAAGTAAAAAAAAAAAATGTATTTAATATCTTGAAATCATGTATAGAATGTGTACACATTTTAATCAATATTTGAGTTTTTTTTATAAAATAATAATAAAAAATAAAAAGACATTTTATAAAATTTTATATACATTTTTTTTTTTTTATT